TTATTTTTCACAAGAATAAAGAGAAGTATTTTTCCTTGCGATTATCTCATTCCTTAGAAATTTTTTTCTACTTTACAGTTCTGTACTTTCGATCTATTATGGATACGAGCTCAAGGGTCGATTATAAGCAGAGATCGAATGATCACTCCCACACTCGGGGACTGCCATCCCAAATATAAACTCGAACAGATCAAACTATTGAGTGTCGGGAAATAAGACCTCTTAGGCAACCCCGATTTTAAAGTCCACGGCCAAAACCACTCGGGGACTGTTATCTTAGGCAATCCTGGATAACTCGGGAAAGCAAGCTCACTGGGCTATGCCCGAAATAAAAGGCTACGGCCAATTTAACATGGTTCGGAGACGTCCAAAATCCGTTACAAAAATAGGCCTTCGAAAAAGAAAAAATAAAATTCTTTCACTACCGGTTCTAAAGGCTACCCTCGGCAGAATCTCAAACTTAAGATATTTTCAGGAGAAAACTTTGGTAACATCGAACCCCGATAACGCCTTAACCCATAAAGGCAATAAAGTCAAGGTTTGTTCGAACCCTCGAACATAATCTTATTGCTTCATGCAAAGGCATTCTAACCTTTGTGAATACAAATAATAAAGCAAAGGGAAAATTTGAGAACGAAAGGGAAAGAAAAGCCTTATATTTATATACAATATTTTTGAACAAAGGCCAAATCGGCCTAATACAAAATCTACAATGGCCGAAATGGACTCAAAAAGATGCAAAAAGAAAAACAAAAAACTCTAAAGGCCAAATCGGCCTAATACAAAATCTACAACGACCGAAATGGTCAAAAAGATGCAAAAGAAAAAAAAACCTAAAGGCCTAAGTGGCCTGGTCTTCATCAGAGGCAGCATCTCCATCCTCGGTATCTTCCCCACCTTCAGACTCACTTAAACTATCCGAGTCTTCCTCGGGAAAGGCTAGATTTCGAGCCCTAGCTTCCTCTGCTTTGGCGTTCTTGAGTGCAGCCTGTATATCGAAGCCTTGAGCATGGACTTCCTCGAGGGCTTCCCTTTGAGCTTTCAACTTTACATGATCCACCATGCTTTTGGCCTGCGCCTGGATGGCCCCAACATCAACCTTATACTGGGTCGCAGTAGCATTGGCTTTAGTGTTGGCCGCGGCCACCTCAGATTTAGCCGCCTCGAGCTCATTAGCCAAGTTAGCTAACTGGGACTGAAGCTCCTCGATTTTCTTTTCTTGCACCGAGGTTCTCTCTCTTGCAACCTGGAGCTGGGACTCGGCCGACTCCAACTCTGCTTGGACGGCCTCCTTTTTCGAGGCTAAGATATCCATATTCTTCTTGAACTCTTCAGCCTCGGGCTCGAATTGCATCTATTTATCTGAAGATCCCCGATCTGTTCGAGCCTCTGCCGGACCTGCAGAATTGGATCGTTAGTCATTATCTCCAATTCTTCTTCATTATCGTGAAACACTCAGAATACCTGTTCGGCCATCTCAGCATGCTCATCCCGGGTCGTCACTGAGAAGCTTATAAGTGTCACTTTTCTCAGTGAGGTCCCGACTCAGCCTCGCGCTCCTCCCGAATTCGAAGGAAAGCCTCGTGATGAAACACCGAATCCTATAAGCGAGGAAGAAAATGTTAGAATCACCTACGACTCCAAGTTTAAAAGAGATAATGGAATGACCCTCGAAGTTACCCGATTCAGAGCAAGTTGGGCCTCGTTGAACAGGCAAGCGGCTCCCACCGCATTCATCACAGCTTGGTCTTCCTCGGTCACTAAGCACTTAGATAGCTGGCAATCCCCACGGGGGGGAGAATACCCGGGCATCCTCTGGTACGGAAAACACTATATTTCGCCTACGGTCGAGGTTAACACTTGGGGCCAGGAATCGATCCACCAATTTTGGGCTCGACAAAGACCCAGTAGCACCCGGGGACGATGTTTTCTTTGGAATCGATAAGTCACCAAGCTCGATGACATCTCCCAAAGCATCAAACTCAACCCCATCCAAGAAGCCATGGATATCGACCGTTCCCTTAGGACCCTCGCAAGGGCGACCTTATAAAATATTAGCCTCATGGATCGTGGCGTCCAAAATCCGAGGGGACCCAGAAATATCGATCACACCAAGCTTGTCATTCGGAACATCTTCCGCCACTCAAGAAGCCTCGCCCCCAGTCTCTCTCTCGACCATCTCAGCCTGGGACGGAGTGGCCTCAACTCTTTCTGGTTCGGGAACCACGGTCGAAGCTCCCTCGTTAACCTCCTCCCATACAGAGGGATTTTGTATCGAAGCACCATCATGTACACGGGCTACCGGATTTGATTCCTCTTTTTCTTCATTTTCGGACTCGTCCCTTAGCCNTGTTACAACTGACTGGCTATTAAAACTAACTAACTGCAAGTTTTTTCTTTTGGGTGAAACTAATTGAAAGTTGCTACTACAGCTGTGCATGTCTGGAAATGCAATAATATTCGTGCTTTCTAAATTAAGTATCGGTCTTCTTTAATGCATTGTATTCTTCGAGTGAAATAAGCAATTAGAATAATTCAACTGGCAATACACAACCATATATGTGGCCCTATTAAACAATGTGAAAGTACAGATCTAGAGTTTGCGCACTGCTCTCCAAAAACCTCTGAAGCTCTATTTTCCTCGTATTTTGTCCCTTTCCCCCTTTAGTATTTGCCTTTTCTTTCGTCATACTAATTGTAAATTCATTTTTGGAAAGTATTTCCTTTATAAACAGTCTGTTTTTTTCTCTGACAAAAATATGGTTTCATTTATGGAGAGTCTTTCCGTTATAAACAGTAAGATTTCACTGACAAGATTAGTGTTAAACGCGAAACAGTTTTCCTACTAAGGTAATTTACAAGTAATATTACTATTACAACTTTTCGAAATATAACTTGAAACCAAGATCATTTAGACTAGCTACCTCTTTCTCGATTAGTAACCTAATGTTCGAAGAACAAATAGGAAAAACCATGTAAGTTTATATTGATGATATGCTAGTTAAGTCCCTGCAAGCAGGGGACCATTTAAAGCATTTGTAGGAAACCTTCAGTATATTGAAGAAGTACAACATGAAGCTGAATCCAGAAAAATGTGCATTCAGGGTCGGGTCTGGTAAATTTCTCAGATTCGTGGTATCCAATTGAGAGATCGAGATCAACCTCGATAAGATCAAAGCTATCGAGGATATCATGGTAGTGGATAATGTGAAGGCTGTACAAAGGCTAAACAGGCACATTGAAGCCCTGGGGTGATTCATCTCGAGGTCGTCCGATAAAAGTCATCGATTTTTCTCAATGCTAAAAAAGAAGAACAACTTCACATGGACCACAGAATGTCAACGAGCTTTAGAAACTTAAGCGATACTTGTCGAGCCTGTCATTGCTTCACACGCCAAGGGAGGAAGAACGACTGTACTTGTACCTAGCGGTATCGGAAATAGCGGTAAGTGGAGTCCTAGTCCGAGAAGAACAGGGTACGCAATTTCCAATTTATTTGTTAGTAGGACCTTAGGTGAGGCCGAAACTAGATACCCTCACCTAGAAAAATTTACACTCGNAACTAAACTAACTGCAAGTTTTTCTTTTGGGTGAAACTAATTGAAAGTTGCTACTACAGCTGTGCATGTCTGGAAATGCAATAATATTCGTGCTTTCTAAATTAAATATCGGTCTTCTTTAATGCATTGTATTCTTCGAGTGAAATAAGCAATTAGAATAATTCAACTGGCAATACACAACCATATATGTGGCCCTATTAAACAATGTGAAAGTACAGATCTAGAGTTTGCGCACTGCTCTCCAAAAACCTCTGAAGCTCTATTTTCCTCGTATTTTGTCCCTTTCCCCCTTTAGTATTTGCCTTTTCTTTCGTCATACTAATTGTAAATTCATTTTTGGAAAGTGTTTCCTTTATAAACAGTCTGTTTTTTTCTGTGACAAAAATGTGGTTTCATTTATGGAGAGTCTTTCCGTTATAAACAGTAAGATTTCACTGACAAGATTAGTGTTAAACGCGAAACAGTTTTCCTACTAAGGTAATTTACAAGTAATATTACTATTACCACTTTTCGAAATATAACTTGAAACCAAGATCATTTAGACTAGCTACCTCTTTCTCGATTAGTAATATTGTACAGTTAATAATTTAACCAAGATCTATGTTAAATATTGTACTCAAACAAAATTGAGTGATTTTTTCGTTAAAAATTGTTTATTCACTTTTGTAATACTTACATAAAATTAATTGACTTTTACGTACAAAACATAGTTTATCAATTTTAGCGTAATAAGGTGAAAGTTTAGTGACCATTTATAATTAATCCTCAAATGAACATTCAAAGACTCACCAAACTAGAGGATTGTAAAACTATAAATCGCAACCACATAACAACAGTGAGTGGGTAGTGGCCGTAGTTAATTCATCCGAAATATGCTATATACACTAATTAAATACTTCTTCGTTTCAATTTAAATGACACACTTTTCTTATTAATTTGTTGCAAAAGAAATGACATATTTCTATATCTAGAAATAATTTAATTTTAAACTTTTTGTTTTACCCACTTTACCTTAATGAGAAGCTTTTATAGCCACACAATATTATAAGTTTATGACTTCACCGAGCTTTTGTCCTTTAAGCCTTTAAGATCACATATTTTAAAATCCTTCTTCTTTTTTTCTTAAAATTTATGTCAAGTCAAATTAAATCATTTAAAATGAAACGGATGGAGCATTGGCATGCATTAGCATGATATAGCTTGACAGGCTTTTTATATTTTCCTTTCCTATTTTTTCCCTCTTTTTAGCACAAAACATATTTTCCTTATTTGGCTTCAACTACTTATGATTATATTTAACTTATCTCTTTTGTCAGTAATGATCGAACTCTCATTTCAAATCCTTCTCCTTTTTATAATCAGTCGACCATGCATGTAACAATTTTTTTTTTAAAAGATAGAAAAACTAGGTGTCTATGGGCTATAAATAGTGGCCATCACGAAGCTATTCATCACACAGAAATACACAGAGCATTGATTTATAAGTATTTTATATTATCACATATTCACATTCATAGGTTTGGAAATGGCTGTCGAAAGGAATATCAACAGCTCTCATGAATTTCCTATGGCTAGTGGAGCTAGCCCTTTCAGCTACAAGAAAAATTCCGCCTATCAGGTTTTATTTCTTCCTACCCTATAGTAAACACATGCATTAATAATACATGCAAATGAGACATAATTCACAAGTTGATGAGAACAAGTTAAATTAAACTTGATAGTACTGTACAAAAATAAGTTTACATAATCAATATACGTAAGTTAAAAGTTGAAGTGGAGTCTTGGCTTAATCCACATTACCATGAGGTCACAGGTTCAAGTCATGGAAACTGTCTCGTATAGAAATGCAGGGTACAATAGACCCTTGTGGTCCGGCCCTTCCCTGAACCCCACGCATAGCGGGAGCTTAGTGCATCGAGCTGCCTTTTTAATGTACGTAAGTTAAATATTGATATTAACAATTATTTTGATGTTTAATTTCTGCAGAGACGTGTTGTTCGTGCTACTAAGCAGCTCGTGAATGCAGTGGTGGCGGAGAAACTCCAAGTTGAAAGCCTTAATATACAGCGGGGAATATTTCAGATCACTGATATGGGTTGTTCAACCGGACCTAACACATTTATTTCAGTACAAAACATCGTGGAATCTGTGGAGCTAAAGTTCCAGAACAAAAATGACACTAAAATACCTAAAATTCAAGTTTTCTTTAGTGACCATTCCTTTAATGATTTCAATACCCTTTTCGCATCTCTCCCAACAAATAAGCCCTATTATGCTGCTGCTGCTGTGGGTTCTTTCTACGATCGTGTTTTTCCTGATGAATCTCTTCATATTGTTAACTGCTCTTATGGTCTACATTTTCTGTCCAAAGTTCCAAGTGAGGTTGAAGACAAAACTTCACCTGCTTGGAACAAAGGAAAAATTTACTATTCCCATGCTAAGGAAGAAGTGATTAGGGAATATGAAAGACAATATGAGAAAGATATGGACTCGTTCTTGAACGCTAGGGCACAAGAGGTAGTCCCTGGAGGGTTAGTGTTTATCACTGTTCCAGCCCGACCCGATGGAACTCCTCATTCTAAGGTGATCTACAATATGTTAGCTGACACTTTGGGTTCATGTTTTGTGGATTTGGCCAAGCAGGTATACTCACATAAATTGAACTGCATATCTTTATATATATATAGTACTCCCTCCGTTTCTTAGTTTGACTTGGCACAAACCTTAATATAGAAGAGAAGTCTTTTGAAATATGTGGTCTTAAATAATCTATAGCATTTGTGTGATTAGAAAACTTTTTAAACCTTGTCATGTCACTTGTGTAGCTATGAATGCCGCTTATTAAGTAAATATTGAAAGATGCTAATTTTTTTGAAACGGACTAATAAGAAAATAGTGTCAATCTTTTTTGAAGCAGAGGGAGTAGTAATATTTAAAGAAGAAAAGTCTTAAACATTTCATACGGACTATATATGGTCTTTAAATCCTATATTTGCCTCTGATTTGATGATCATTTGGCAAAACTAATTGAGTTGTTATAGACATGTTAAAGTCTAACCATATGTGACACGAAGCACGACAAACTTAACTAAGAAATCATTAATTTTTTAGGTTATTAGTTTCACTTAGCAAATTTAATTTGCAGGGTGAGAATGAGATTGAGGAAGACGAGGTGGATGCATTCAATATACCAGTGTACAGCACGTCTCCATCTGAAATAGAAGAAGCAATTACAAGAAATGGATGTTTTGACATAGAAAAACTGGAGATTCTGCCAAAGGAAACATCACCAATCAATGGTCTGACTGCTAAAGATGCGTCTGTGCACATAAGGGCTATAACTGAGGGACTGATTGAAGAAAAGTTTGGTCCAAAAATATTGGACAAACTCTTTCATCTCTACACACAAAAACTTGAGGATGCATATCTTGACTTGCTTTCTGGTGAAGCAATAAGTTTATTCGTAGCTCTTAAACGCAAAACGAACATCTAATCTGCTCTACAGAATAATGGTGCAATTTGAAGCTTGGTGGTGGAGATATAGCTATGGTTTGCAAAATAAGAAATGCGTGCAACATGTTTGTTTGTTCTAAAACTATGTCGTTTTCTCGTCTTCTGCTTTGTTTAATGTTGTCTTTAATTTGGTGTGTGATGTGTCCTTTGGGTTGTCATGAAAATGTTATTTGAATTCTAAGTACGGTGTGTGATGTTCCCTTTAGATGTTGTCTACAGTATGTATTGTTTTGAAATATTTCTTCTGGCATTTAATTTCTTGATCAATGAACGCTCATTTCATCCATGCATATGAAGCCTTTAGATCAGTTTTAAATGCTCCTTTATGCTACTTTCAACAAGGCAAATTTAACCAATTATTATATATAGAAGAGTTCTAAAAAAAAAAACACTAACGAATTGATATGATTAAGCTATAGGTTATAAGTTCGAGTCTTGGAAGCAGTCATTAATACTTTCGTTAGGTTAGGCTATCTATATCACATCCCTTGGGATATTGCTCTTCCCGGAACCGTACATGAATGCGAGATGCTTTGTGCACCGGGCTGCCCCTTTTTTTGATATAATGATGATGTAGAGGATTATCAATAATATATTGGAACAAGAATAGAAGACCAAAAAGATCAAGAAAATTAAAAAGTAGTGTTAAGATCTGAATTCGAATTCGTTTGTGAACAAGAATAAGGAAATCCAAATTGGATAGAAGAAAAATAAAGACTAGAAGTGTTCATTTTCTAGATTTTAGGAAGATATCTTTTGAAAGTCAAAGAATGGTTTCGTCTCATTCATCACGTAGTTATCCTGGAATATCCAAGTAATTTTGTATTGTTGTATGTTTTAGTTTAGATTTATAACTACAACTTGTAAACGCGAAACTAATAACTTAAAAATAAGATAGATCACTTGTTGTAACACCTAGAGATAAACTATATTTTTCTAATCATGTTAAGGAAAGAGGAGTGACTTAAGCTTGTAGGGGTAGTTTAGTCTATTTATATCTACCAAGACTAGCTAAGTAGTTAAGTGAGTTACTCACGTGTATATATATATATATACTCTACTGTACATATAAAATGAATGAAAAAAGGAGCAGTTACTGTTCTATTGATTTCTTCTGTTCTCTCTACTCTTTCTTCCTTTTCTCTCTTCCATTTTCTCTTCCTTAGCTTGAGCTCATTCATGGCTGTTCCTCCATAAAGTTCAGCATGGTATCAGAGCATTGAGCTCCGAATCGAAGCTCAAAATCGATCCAGAGTCCCCTCTCTGCTTCTATCTCTGTTAATTTTCTGTTATTTTGAGTCAATTGTGACCTCAATAGTTTCCAGATCTGAGAGAAAAAACCTAGAATATCTCGATTATGGCGATTGATGATGAGAATGCGACTTCTACTAACGAGAATGTCACTGCCACTACTGTCACAGCTGAGATCAGATCGCATGCATCATCGGACGATGAGTTCGAGGAAGGAGTTACAGTTGCAGTGACTCATCCTCTATATCTGGCACCTAGAGATACCAGTGGCATCTCTCTAATTTCATTCCAGTTAACTGGAACTGATAATTACTCCTTGTGGTATAGATCTATGCGAATTGCATTGTTAGGTCGTAATAAGCTGGGAATTGTTGATGGACGATGGCCAAATGAGAGGTTTCGCGAGAAGTACTGGTACCAGTCGGAAAGGTGTAACGCTATCGTACTCTCATGGTTGATGAATTCAGTGGCTCCATCACTAATTAGTGGTATAGCCTATGCCACTAATGCACAAAAGGTGTGGCTAGATCTTCAGGAGAGATTTGATAAGGTAAACGACACTCGATGTTACAATTTACACAAGGAAACCGCCACTCTGTGTCAAGGTACATCCTCTATCTCTGTATACTACTCAAAACTTAAGGATCTCTGGGATGAATCTGAGTCTATAATACCTACACCTGACTGTGATTGTGCAAAAACAAGGGAGTTTATTGTGCATCTTCGAAAACAAAAGGTATATCAGTTTTTGATGGGCTTGAATGACTCCTATTCACAAGCTCGTAGTCAAATCCTCATGATGAAGCCCTTACCTACAGTGAACCAAGCTTATGCCATGCTTATGAGTGATGAAAGTCAACAAACTGTAGCTGCATCAGCTAGTGTTTTAGGTCCTCCTCCTATTATGAACCCTAATACCTATGAATCAACAGCACTATATAGTGCTAAGTCTAATTCTAACTCAAGGTTTAGAAAGAACTACAATGTTCAGTGTGACTTCTGCAAAATGAAAGGTCATAGTAAGGAGAATTGTTACAAAATCATAGGATATCCAACTGATTATAGGCCTAAGAGAAAGG